ATTTTTTGGTACGGCACGCTTAATTTTTCAAGGCAGGCCAAAAGAAATTGGCGCCAAAACTAAGCCTGTTTACGCTTATTTTTCTTTTTAGGCCTGAATACCACAAAATTTTAGAAAGCACCCAATAGAAAATTTTTGGCGCCCATAACCGCACCGCAGTTGCTATATAAGTCAGCAGATTAACAAAGCACAGATGCGCTTTAGTCATGTTACAGTTTCAAAACTCATGTCAAACTAATCCACTTTACCTAGTTTCTTCTTCTTTTTCAGTTTTAAATCTTTCAGACAGCTTAATTTGTTCTTGTGATATAAACAGAGTATAAATTCTTGGTTGAAAGTCTCTGAGGAAGGAAAGAAGTCAATTTGACAGTGGAATAAACAATTTGAAACTAGTGACATATAAACAGGACGATCATGGTTGAAATAGTTGATATGGTCCTCAGATAAAAACAAATATAAATGTGCCAATTACTACGATAAATGACACGCTATGACCTAATCTCTGAGCCTTAACATCAATTCACTTTTACTACAGTTATAAAAGACAAATTTGCTGAAGCCAATCGCTAATTATTGACAACCAACATGATATGCTATAGTATAACGAATATAGGATATTTAGGAGCAAGATTTTGGATTTTTTTCAAGGTTTTACTAAACGTTTTAACATGACGTCACAGCGCTGTATCGTGTCTAGCATACCTCGTTGTTGACGAAGTAAAATGATTTATAATCTATATTTAGGGGGTCATTTTCATTTGCAGAAAGTTCATATTATTCATTTCATTGTAAAAAATGGTCGATTATAGTGTATAAAATACACATTTCGTTTCTGGGAATGTTGAATTAGTTAATCCTGCAGTATTATTAATTGCAACCGTGTAGCTATATACAGAACGAAAGATTCAGGGTGTTTGGTATAAATAAAATGAGTGGCGATAAATTGAAATATCTTAGAATAGCAGGTTTAAAGTGTATATGAAATGAAAATTTCGAGATCGGGTTTTTTGCATTTTCTAAAAATTTCGTCTTTTTCGATCATAAATATACCAACTTTGTCGAAAAATTCGAACTAGAAGTTTGTGAAATTTACGATTAAAGTTCGATTTTGAGACTATTTACTGGCGAAAGACTGGTACCTAGAATTTTGGCCCTTGTGACGTACGTAGTGTGACACGTCGACGTGTTTTAGTATAGCAAAACACAGTTAATAGAATATACATGGTTTTGAGACTACATAAAACGAGAATACAACTCATTAACTATAATGAGGTACATTTATGCAAAAAATTGTTCCTTTCTCATCACATGTCTATTGTATTTTGCACAGATAAACCAATAGCAATCTTATAATTAACATATTTTTCAAGTCAAGGTTGAGGAGCTTAGCAAGACGAATGCCATTGGTACGTTTGGCTAAAATACAATAGACACGTGACGAGAAAGGAACCATTTTTTGCATAAACGTGGACAATAACATAGTTAATGAGTTGTATTGTACTTTTATTTAGTTTCCAAACCATGTATATTCTATTAACTGTGAGCAAAATAACAAAGATCACGCAATCACGCGTGAAAAGCTTTTTTAATATTGTGCGTAAAAAATGTCTGATAACGAAAGTTTCGAGTCACAAACGGAGACAGAAGGGTCATCAGATAATGACGACATCACTGAGCAATCGTCTGTTGTTCAGCCTTACCAATTTGAGCCACTGGCAGATAGCGAATATGAAGACGAAACGGACGAAGACGGTATTCTTCGCGAAACGTTTGAATCGAGATTTAAGTCAGATTTACCTGTTAACTCGTGGTAAGTAATTCCATGAAAGTAATATTATTTTAGGCTGTTTAACCACAACCTTTCGTCTGTATATTTTAAGGTACACATGCATGCGGACATTGTAGAGTAGAGCTGTTACAGGACGGCAGAGAGAATATCGATGTTGCAAAGAAATTCTCGAGTACACGGGCAAGGTAACGAATGAGGGCAAATACGCAGCATGCATGACACAACGTTGGGACTATGCTGTGGTCACACACCGGACAGTGTTAGAGACTGCAGGAGTTTCACTCTCCGACAAGTCGGGGAAAAAATATCATAAGCCAACAAGCAGGACACAAGATCGGCAAAATGAGTATGTACATATTTGTACAACATTGCTATTTATGTTCTCATATCTACAAATTAGCACTAATAGGTCGAGATACAGAGCCTTTTATCGATTTCGGCTATACACAAAAAGGTATATAATATCCTTGGTATTCGTGAACATGGAATTAACGACTCACTGCTTGATTATTTAGGTGAGATGGGTGGTAAGATGGATATTTGGCATGCTGTGGTGGGATAATTCAAGATCGCTTCCAGCCTGTCTGTATCATGAAATAAGGAAAAGATTTTTATTTTATTTTTAATTGTCTGCACTTTGAGTTTCCTAAATGTGGTATTAGTAAACTTCCATAATAGATACAGGGGCACACATTAAAAGTAGAGTGAATTTATTATTTTAATTTCTCATCATCAGGTATGTCATACTATACAATATACCAATATGAATGTATATATTCTTTAAATACTAACTAATTTGTTGTTGACCAGCTGTACTTGATTCACATATGCTTTTTTGATGTTCTTTCATTGGTTGTCCACATCTCCAGACTCACCCTTCTTTCGTACGCAAGATTTCTCAAAGTGTGCTGAGCATATTACTGAAGAACTCGTAGGAGTAAAATTCGGCCGATGTTTTCGCACGAATTTTACCTACATTTGCTTCTGTTCTTCATTTGCGGGAAACTTATGCATCGATATCCCCTCAACGTGATACAATGTATTCATGCAACTGCATGCGCAATCCAGGAGCTCCGCAGACGCAAAATTTCCCCCTCTTCGCTCTCTTCGTGCTGGAAGCCATGCTTGTTGAATTCAAAATGCTTAGTAACTCATAACGCAGTGTTGTTATAGGGCAAGATTGTACCGATTGCGTGCGAGTGCAGGTTTGAATTTTGTGACGTGAGGGAAATGCGGTAGCCAAGACTAGATGCACTGTGTCTGTCGCGCAAAGCAAGCACGCAATTCTAGCTGATGTTTTCTAAGTAGAGGTGAGAAAATACTAATCAAATTCCGGTTTATTTTAGCCCCGTTTACACTACACACGATTTATTGGCACGGCACGGCTAAAATGGGTACCCGTGCCCATTTCATCGGTTCTCGGCCTTTGTTTTGGTAGCCTGAACACTATTAAAATTGAGCACGGGTACCAATTTTAGACGTGCCGTGCCGATAAATTCTGTGTAGTGTAAACTGGGCTTTTAAGTGCAAAAACACGCAATGTGAGCATCACGAGTGATTGTGAGTGAACGCAAATTATATAATAAGTATATCGCGTTTGAAGCAGTTACAAATTCCATAACATTAATTATGGTATACCATGTATGCGGTCTAATGTCAATATGATACGCGTATGCGGTCTAATGTCAATATGATATGATGACAGTAATATAGATAGATAGCCTACATATTCAGTCCTAATGTAGATATTTCGTATTCATTTTAGAAATGCAATTTTCTAGTATTAGTTGCTACTCTACATTGTTTACAATAGTTGATATCATACTGTTACATAATATGCGGTATGTATGCGGTACGTCTGAAACCTCAAGATGCGGTATATAGTCTCTCGCGGCACAAAAAGTGCATTTTTGGCTGCTACGATTCTTCATGTTGTAATTATATTCTGTCTATAATTCAAAATTCGTGACTACAAAAAGCGGATTCGTCAAAATCGCTTCGGAATCCCAATTCTACATAGACGCAGCTATGTAACATCGTAGTGATACATATCAAAAGATCGAGCTGTTTCACACTGCCTACGTCATTGGCCGCGCGATGGAATGTTAGGAATTTCGCCAGTAAAGAGTCTAAAAATCGAGCTTTAATCGTAAATTTCACAAACTTCTAGTCTGAATTTTTCGACAAGGTCGGTATATTTATGATCGGAAAACACGAATTCTTTAGAAAATGCAAAAAACCCGATAGCGAAATTTTCATTTCATATACACTTTTGACTTTTCCAATCAGTATCACACAAGACCACAACGCGACAAAGCGCTGTGCAGTGCCAGGCATTTAATAATGCAAGTCTATTCAATACGACGCCACAGCGCTGTTCTGCACCTACATGCACATACAAGCAATCATGTCTACTTTACCGTGTTGTTGGATAAATCATTTATAATCACAAACGTACTAGTTCAAAATTTAGAATGTGACAATCTACATGGGCAAAACCATATGTAGACGAATATGTCGAACATAAACAAAATCACGCCTTACTTAAGTGCATCGAAAATGGGAAAATATCCTGGAAAATATTTATGTGGTAAAAAGCACGTGTACAAGAGCTGTTTTCTGGTTAATACACTGTATTTACAATAACAGACGGATGATACGTCTCTATAGTCACACGAGGATCTTAAACTAGTCTGAAAATTTGTTGCTGCTGGATATGACTCCAATGGCATAGGAGGGTCGGTAACATCATAATATTCTGGCGATAAGTTAACAATTTCGAAATTTTATTCCTTATGTTTAAAGAAGCGAGAAATGTGCAATGTATTTCAAGTATCACTATCACACGAGTATACTGACAACGCCACCATTTCGGCATTATGCAGACCAATATTTGGCCATCATGCAGATAGACTAGCAACTACGTTTACGAATTTAACATCATGCGCGAAAATTTAAAAGCATGTCTCTTTTTATCGCAATGTGGAATCATAAATCAGCGAATCATAAATCACATCTCAAACGCCTTAAACCTCACTTTAAGAACATTGAAAGGAGGAAAAAAAGAAATTTGCAATTTTATTTCACCGCGCCACAGACAAAGCGCTGTGTTGTGGCAAGACCTTATACGACTGTGACGACTTCACTGTGTTGATGACATAAAATCATTTCTACTCTTCAAAAAACACGACTAACACTGACATAAACGTACCTTTTCAAATCATGAAAGCGATTATTTCAATACATGGCTAAAATTTCACACAAATTCACCAAAATTCGCAGAAGATACTCACGAGGTAGATATATTAAAACCAAGACGGAAACTGATTGTAATTTAAAACCTCACAATCACTCAGTCTCAGTAGAGATTTCATCACACGCATTGTTGACAGAACGTCATGAATCATACTTTCGATAAAAATATTATCTTGTGCAGGGATCAGCCATGACGGTGTGAGGGAAACTGGAAATTTCTTTATAAACGCGCAATGGCTCGTCTAACTTGGCTGAGAATTTATGTTGTGTTAATACGTAAATGACTGTTCTAATGATTTCTGGTTTCAGAGAAAATGCCTCTGGTTAATCACAGTGAATAAACCAAACTGACCATGGTCATAAATGCAGGGTCAGTCTATGAAAATATAAACAAATTTAAGTTTATAAGAAATACAATTACTGTCATGAAGACAACCCAACCACCCTAGAGACGACACCTCAGTATTTACTTGCAACATTTCACTTGCAATCTGTAATTCTGGTTTAATATTGATAATTGATTTCCAAGGCTACATGAAATGTCATTATGCAAAATACTCGCCATAGAGAACTCTGTCATTCATTAGCTGGGATTGCATTGGGTCTGATTAAGTTCAAGCACCCTCATGAATGAAAATATTTGCAACTAAAGTATTGTTGAACTGACAGATAATTTATTTCAGTGATTGACAGATATTGTTGTACTAGATGGACTGATCAATGACTGACCAGTGTATTTGTTAAAATACTTTTGGTTGGAACAGATGGTGAAGTCTGAATACATAGTTAACATGATAGCCAGAGAATGACTTTTTATCAATTAGCTGTATACAAGCTGGTATTATACATGAGAAAGAAACCATAACAATAAATGCACATAGTGTAAAATGTGATGGCAAGTGGATGTAAGATTAATAGAACTGGAAAACTTCAATTATGATTTATAAATTTAGTAAAATATATCTCAGTCTTTTAGTCATGTGATATTGGCACTGATATAACATATATTGTTTGACCATGATCAGGTGGGTTTTAGCTATAAAACTTAATACCATTAAAAGTTGCATGAAAAATATATTATCCAGTTCCAGGATGGTTTCAACCAAATCTGTTGCTGAACAATTTTCCTAACACTGCGTCGAATAAAACGTTTGAAATGGACATGTAAGAAATGAATGAAATGATTATATTCCCCCTGAAAGATATTTCTGGACTCTGGTCTAAATAAATTAGTGAATGTTTTAAAATTGATTTCTGATGAAACAAAACTATAGCGCTGACTGGTGTATTATTTTGCATACGATATTAACCACAAAACGTTGAAAAATAAATTCCTCCCGTACCCAGCAAAATCAGATGAATATTTTTGTTGACTATGCAATATATATATAAGCAACAATGTGCAATATACTACGTGAAACACCAATATAAACCAAACCATCCCGTGAAAACATTGTAATTTAAAGCAAAATAGACAAGGACGCATACGTATATCCCAATATGAGAGAAACCTCACAAGGAATCTAGCACATACCTTCGACAATCTGGTCTTGTCTAGTCTGTATTACCACGACTAGCCCAAAGCAATATGTCTTTGTTTTTGTACTTGACTACTTGTCTGCGTCGATAAACCTTGTTAAAATAACTTCAGCTTTCTCAATGAATAAGTTGATCACCCACGACGAATCAGGATCACTTTGGGCACAGAGCATTTGGGAGCTTCTAGTCCAAGAATACGATCATTTTGACAAATAACGAACACAGACTTTGAAGAAATACAAAGACTCAAAGAGAAACAGGAACTGGGTGAGGTTTTGGGTGTGGCCACTGAGCTATATGGCTCTGCGAACTGAAGGTGGAAAACTGGAACGATATATCTATCATTTTTTATGTCCTATTATTGAATAATTTGTATATTTTTTAAATTGCTGATAATTGCGGGTAATTGTTCAAAAAATACCGCCTTTAAAAATATTGGGGAGAGCATTGAGAAATTCAGTTAAGATCGAGGCCTTGGGGAATAATTTAAAAAATTACACTTTTTTAAACCTGCAGTTCTAACTTCTCTTGATAGTGGCGAAAATTCAGTCCGAATGTGAAAAATTTGTTATAATTTACCTTTTTTACTATTCTAAAGACTGCTTTCCAGGTACGCGTTTTTTTCATACGCACGTTACACACGGAAGTCTAAATCATTATACATGTTATCTCTGAAAATATAAATAAATTGAAAGAGTTTTCTGCAAATTTTAACAAATAATGAAAATTAAGGCATTTTTTCGTGGGTGTACGTGGATTGCCACAGGTCAAATTTTGAAGCTAATGAAAGACAGCAGTGATTTTTAATGTCTGAGCCCTGAATAAATATACCAAATCTATGAAATTAATAAGCATCGTAATTATCACTACACTGGTTTTAATAAATGAAAGTAATCACCACACAAAGATTAACTTTCACGACCCAACGTTTCGACACTCCGGTCTAGTGTCTTCATCAGGGGTGATCTGATGTGTAAACTCGGTTTCTTATATACTCTCAAAATGACGTCATTTATCAATCAGATGTAAATATTCTTTTGGCAAATAGCTTCCGTCATCCCTATTTAGGGCACAAAGACTCACATTAATATGACAGGCTTCCAAACAACGCCTTTGTCCATAACGATCATTAGTGGTAATGACTTTTGAATCGTTCCACCCAATGTTATGGTTAGTTTGACACACGTGTTCCGCCAAGGCTGATTTTGAACTGTTTAAGTTAGAAACGGCCTTTTGATGTTCTTTCAAACGTGTGCCGAACTGGCGTTTTGTTTCACCTAAATATTCTTTCTCGCAATCACCACATGGTATAGAGTATACAGCATGAGTTTTCTGTTTAGGCCCCGTCCACACGATGCCGGAAGAATTTGAAAACGCACGAATATTCTTACGGTTACGCGTATCGTCCACAAGTATCCGGCGTTTTCGCCCACTGAAAACGGAAGAATCTGAAAACGCTCTCCAGAGTAGAAGAATTTTGAAAACGAAGGCTGAGCGGATACGTGTGGAAAGCTTCGCCGGATAAATTTGAAAACGATGACGTCACGTATCAAGTCGTTTCCATATTAATGAGGCTTGTTTCAAGTTTGGTGGCTTATGCTCATCTTTATATTACTATATTAGCCTCAAATAAGTCTTATTTAGGTTATTTTTATGGTGAGTAAGATCTTCGGCAATTCTTGTAGCATTTGCGGAAGTATTTTACGAGAGAAAATGTCCAAAATGTCGGAGTATGGTTATACACAATTTCTTATACACGACATGCATTTAATAGATTCTCAACAACAATATTTATGAGTTTGTGCTTGTCGTCTGTCCAAACAAAGTCCTCATCCTTGTTTTTTACTTTGGATTTGGTAAATTTTTGCTTTGAATTCGACATCGAACCTGTGACACGCGGGTGGAAAACATGAAGGTGTATTGCGGGATCAAAAAATTTTAGCGTTTTCGGGTCGTTTTTGTGTTTACGTGTGGATGCGAAAAAATATTTTAACGGATAAATATTTTTGCGTTTTCAAATTCTTCCGGCATCGTGTAGACAGGGCCTTAGTCGCTACGCGATCCTTGAGTTTCGCGAAAATATGTCCCAGTGTCTAAAAGGGGTTTAAGGCAACTTTATACCACAATTATTCAGAGTCCTCCTGATTGGTTCTGCAATTCCCTGACCGGTTAACAAAACCGGTTAACAAAAATAAGATCGATAATTTATTGAAACGTTTGAATTCTATTGAGCCATCAATTCAACTCACTGTAGAGCGCGAGAGTGAGGGAAAGTTGGCTTTTTTGGATACTTATGTTCATAGAAATATCGAAGGGCAGTTAGAAACTGATGTTTACCGTAAACCTACACATACGGACAAATATCTATCCTTCTACTCACACCATCCAAAAAGTCATAAAAAGTTTGTTGCAAAAACTTTGTTTCTGAATCGTTAACATCCAATCGCGTTGCTAGGGACAACGAGCGTGATTATGTCCTCAGTGTACTGAAAGAGAACAATTATCCACGAAACTTTTTAAATGATTGTCTAAAGAGGGTGATTCCTCAAAAACAGGCTTTGCTGTAGTTCCATACATTCAGGGAATTGCAGAACCAATCAGGAGGATCCTGAATTATTGTGGTATAAAAGTTGCCTTAAAACGCTTTCAGACACTGGGACATGTTTTCGCGAAACCCAAGGATCGCGTAGCGACTAAACAGAAAACTCATGCTGCATACTCTATACCATGTGGTGATTGCGAGAAAGAATATCTAGGTAAAACAAAACGCCAGTTCGGCACACGTTTAAAAGAACATCAAAAGGCCGTTTCTAACTTAAACAGTTCAAAATCAGCCTTGGTGGAACACGCATGTCAAACTAACCATAACATTGCGTGGAATGATTCAAAAGTATTCTATTTCCAACCCTCATACTCATACTCAGTTGTAATTAAGGATTGGGGAAAAATTGTGATCCAGCGCATAGGCGAGGCTCGCAGAGCCTAGCGGGGTTTCGGAGTTTTTACGACCCACGAAATCACGGGTGGGTGGGTTGGGGGTTACGATTAACCTTGCTCGCTTACCCGCTGGAACGAAACTGAGCTTTTCTGAGGGTTTCCTTGTGGTTTTATACCCCCGTATCATTACTATTACGTATACTTGCCCAGTCATGCATTCAATCATGATACACGCCTTAATTTTCACTTTGCATATCATTATCGGGTTGTAAATAGTATTCTATTTCCAACCCTCATACTCATACTCAGTTGTAATTAAGGATTGGGGAAAAATTGTGATCCCCGCCATTCAACTCCTCTCCACCCAGACTCAAGTCCTTATTCAGTTTAAATACCATAATTTATCCTAAAAATTCAATAATTTATCCCAATCTTAAAAATATCCCAAACTCCCAGACTTCATCTAGAGAGGCAGAGTCAGGATACGTCAGAATGCCGTCTTTTTTGTGGAGCAACCGCAGGGAAAGCCGAGACGAAACGCCTGAGCTCATTAATATCAGTCCACGGTTCTGTCACATCA